TCAATGCAATTGAAACAATACATGGGTTCCACTTATTGACCATGACAAAAAATTGCTTATAATGAAAGCAACTGGAGGCAGAAGTGTGTGGCGGCACTTTTCATGTTGCCTCCAAAAGTCTTGCCTGAACTGTCATTTTAAGGTTATTTGAAATTGGTCTGTAGGTGAGGTTTACAAGTATAAAGTCATCTCATCTATTGTTTTTATTGCATTCAATATGACAAGCCTTAAGATCGGACCGTCGGTTTGTCCAATACCTTATAACTTACTTTCAATTAATCGATGAGACATCTTCTCCATACCAGCCATTGGTCGTTATATTATTGATTAGCAGTTTGTTGACTTCTTCATTCACCTGAGATCTAAAACTATTTAATAGTTATTAAAGTAGGTGTGAGCCATGCATATGTCGGTAGGCTCATTTGTCTTGTTTAGGCTAATTCTAGATCAAGGACAAATTTATTATACATGTATATGATGTGTTAAATAACACTGCAAAACTGGACTGTGCATCTTGCATGTTAAATAGTTATAATAAATACACACCTTTGAGTAAAGTCCCAACTTTGTTCTACTCCTTTTACAGCTGCACAGACTGTACACTGCAAGGAATGAAATGAAATAACCTATATGGAGTCATTACTGGTAATTAAATTTTGGCATTGACTGCAAGTGGCAAATTTTGTAATGGAAATGAATTTAAAAACATGGATGGCAGATTAGGTGAATGAAACAACAGAAACATACGATTATTTTGTATGCCTCAATGTCATGATTATTCCTGTGGTCTGGGTTCAATGGACCTAAGTTGCATTTTTCACAACGTTCCTACAGTAGTTGGGTCTTAAATCTTAATTAAAAATAATTTTATGTTTCTGTCCCTTCATTCATTTTACAGTGTATATCTACCATCCACCTTTACATGTAAGTCTGTCAAAGAAATAGGAGATGCATAACCAGAAAATATACATTTGTTTTGCAACTACATTGGTGTTTAACCAGGTTGTTTGATCAGGTTTGATTTACAACCATGTGCAATATAGAGTTCACACCAAATTTATCATTGTGGTTGTTGTATATATAATGAAGTACAGTGCAGTATAAAAATCATTACTTATTTACTGAGACCAAGGGAAACACACTGCTTTCCCAAGGTCTCAGCAAATAAGTGTTTTGTTATATAGTATATAAGTGTCAAAGTATGAATAATTCACCGCTTAATTAATGAAGTGAACTAAATTTGAAACCAAAAAGTAGATGCCGGTAAATGTAACACCATAAATTTGTTTAATAAAAAGTTTTGAAAATGAATTTTGGAACTTTATGGTTGACACACATGTGTATTGCACCCATTTTATTATTGACCGGTCAATAAATGTTTCATTGTGGACCGGTTGCCTCCTCTGCAAAGCATGCAGTGGACATGACGTTTTGTGGACCAACACATGTTACAGTTTTGACCAATTGGCAAACAGAAAAATTCAACTTTGGCACTAACTACATGACTTGTATAACAATATAAACTAACCCATTATCTACTGTATCATTTACTCTCTTCAATGTAAGACACTTTTTTTACTCATCAGCATGGTGGTAGGCTTCTGCCAGCTTAGCCAGCTTGCAGACGTATATTTTTTACGCCAAGCGATGAAAAACTAACGTCTGCTGACCCAAGCTGCCCATTCCATTCCCTTTGTTTTAGGAGCCAATCATCTGGCAGTGTTCAAGGTTCAATGTTCTTACTGAGGGATTAGCTACCAGGGAAAGCCCTTTCACATGGGAATTTATATTTTTTAGGTTGAAATTTGTTTACTTGCATGGATATATTTTGGAAACTATAACGTTGAACTTCACGATGTTTACGTGTAGAATAATATTGTGATCATCTTCTCGCATGTTCTTCAAACAATCGGTGTATATATAAAATGCGGAAGAAATGCAGTCTACTAGGCGAATTTTAAATGGTTGTTAACCATGGCAAACAATCAATCGTTCGGGAAACTCTGGTATATCTGGATATGTCCAAATGATGCTCTTGATACTTCTTATATGCCATGACTTTGACAAAAACTTACGATTGAGCTCACGTTGCTATGTAGAAAAATATAGCCAAGTTAGAGTACAAACGTTTTGAAGTTTGGGTGAATTGGAAAATTTATCTCGGTGCAATTACAGGTTTTATTCTCGGATTTGTGTTGTGTTTACAGTTTACATTCAGAAATGGTTGCTTAAACAGCAAATTGTTACCTTCAAAGTAAACTAATTTGCTGTTTAAGCAACCATTTCCGAATGTAAACTGTAAACAGAACACAAATTCGAGAATAAAACCTGTAATTGCACCGAGACGAATTTTCCAATTCGCCCAAACTTCAAAACGTTTGTACTCTAATTTGGCTATATTTTTCTACAATAGCAATGTGTGAGCTTAATCGTACATCTTCGTCAAAGTCATGGCATATAAGAAGTACAGTATCAAAGCCATGCACAGTATTATAAAAAATGTTCTGTCTTCTGAGGTCTGTTGTCTTAAAGATGAAAATCTGTCAAAAGTTCAAATTTCAGCGAAATATATTTGGCATTTGATGCTGTTTTGGCCATCCTGTCTGTGTTTTGAATTAATATCTTTCAATTCGATTTGTGTGCAATTTTGACCAAAATTCAACCAACGACTAGCTGATTTCAAGATATTTATTTATATTTATTCCGCTCCTAAATCAACTCACTTTCCAGAATTTGGAAGTTAAATTCTCAATTGGTTGACGTAGCAGAATTCATTGTGGCGCTCGGGTCAGCAGACATTAGTTTTTCGTTGCTTGGTGTAAGAAATACAACCTCTGCGAGCAGGCTACTGCCAGTTAACGCATTGAGTCGCATTGCACCCTGACGCACCCTACTTTAGTATTTTACTCTGTCTAACGCCAGACGATTTTACTCATCAAGGGGAGAGCACTGGCACTTAATAGGTTAACTGGCCTATCTGCCCATGTGTCTAGTTAACCCATTGAGTTGCATTGCACCCTGACGCACCCTACTGTACTTTAGTATTTTACTCTGTCTAACGCCAGACGATTTTACTCTGTCTAATGCCAGACGATTTTACTCGTCAAGGGGAGAGCGCTGGCACTTAATGGGTTAACAACATGGTGTTTTACTCTTTATCTATAGGAGTTTTGAATCCAAATGATTGCATGGTCATCATATTTCATTGAACGTAAGTTTTTACATAATTTTCAACCATTTGGTTGTATTATATATATTGCTAGCTAACCACCAACAAGCAATATGGTGATGATGATTTTTTGGTTGTTCCACAGATTGTTTCTCAATTACAGGTATAGAACTTTGTATTATAGTTACATGTAACAACATTCAGGTACAGGTACTTGCAATCCTCTGTTGACAATTCAGGAACCCAAGTGGTGTAACTTTACTTTTTTAATTAATCACTTGCCCTCAGGGCAAGTTGGACATGAAAATTAGTTGCCCTGAATAAAATTTACTTGCCATCAAACAATGGCCACTGGGGTCATGTTGACCCATTCTCTCACTGCTATATGATCAAGTATATGCACTATAAAAAATATATCAGACAATGAAAACATAAACTTAAAGATGCCCATCATGATATTCACTTGCCCCATCATGATATATACTTGCCCGTCATGATATTCACTTGCCCCGTCGTGATACATACATGTACTTGCCCGTCATGATATTCACTTGCCCCGAACAAGCGTGCAAGTGTTAAGGTACACCTCTGAATCCACGAACAATCTTCACAATAACTAGTCTGGTACATATTATACAGATAATTATAATACTTTAAATATGGCATAATTAATAGGCAAAAATATTCACAAAACAGTTGCACACACTTTGCAAAATATAGTATTGCAGTTGTGGGTTATTGTTGTCCACATGTAACTGCTCTTCTGCTGCTTTAAAATCAATTTAAGAAAAAAGGTTTTAATTAATTTTTCCACATCCACCTTAAATTTTGCCTTTTAATGCTTTTGTGACTGTGAAATTGTAATTTCAACTTTGTCACATACAGTACTACATAGACATAGTTACTTGCAGTTTCTATACAATGATCCAAAGACTTAGGAAATTATTTGAAATCAATCAATAGTATGATTATAATGTTTGCAATTAAGCTTGAATGAGGTATGATTAATAACAAAACCATTCCAAATAAATATATCAACTTGTCTACAACTCTACATGTACATTTATGCTGTATGTTATTACCTTACCCTAAAAAGTCAGCCTAGATATAGCACTTCTGGATTTTGTTTTGTGCATGGTATAATGGTTATGGTATATAATAATATTTTTCGTTATTCCGAGCAGTTTTGCACCAGGAAATTTGAGCAGTTTGCCCATCATATTACAGTACTTTGGTAGGTCTACTATATGTTATATAATATGTCAGTAGTTGGGCAGATTGAAAAAATTGTATTTTGTAGAAAATATTAAGTCATTTTGGTGCATATATTTCCTTCTGTTGTCAAAAAAAATTTACTGAAATACTTTAAGCAAGTGTAGTTCGCATTTACCTTCAAAATCAATGGGATTTTGTCTCGTGAATCTCTGTCCGTCTCGCGTTTGTTTGCCATTGCTTGCTCCTGCTGCTGAATTATTTTTTGATTTTGTTCGATGATCGTCCTTTGACTTGCCAAAACTCGTCTCATTAGGTCTTCATTCTGATTATTTTCTGCCATTTTTTTTCAAGTTGATGCTAATTTAAAGGTTTTGACTATTAAAAGTGCACAAAAACCTTCCAGAACTACTCTGAAAGCACAACTTTGAATATTTTCCTTCGAGGTTCCCTCTCGAATGCCAGATTTGGCGCCAAATACATGTATGCCTTTCTATTGGATGACACAAGTCACCTGATCAAATATGGTGCCCCTCAATGCCACCTTCTACAACCATTTAACCCTTTACGTTGCTTCATAACCCCTGTTTCCATAACAACCTAACATAATTTGAAAGCTATGGCTGAAAACAACAACTATATGACACTCTGTCCGCATTGCGAGACTTATTTACCTGCGAGAACGTTCAGACGGCACAGGGAAGATTTCTTTAATTTAAACACAAATTCCTGGCAAAAAGATCCAAGCCTGGTAGAAAGTAGTGATGATGATGATAACTATATTGAGATCGATCAGTCGATTCCACATGCCCCAAGTTCATCAGGTCATTCCCATGATGATAGTGAATCGGACACTGCTAATGATTTCTTTCACCAGGCACTGCTTGAGCAGGAGATTTGGGATGATGTTTCAGATCATGAAATCAATGAAGATACTTTTGAAAACCCCAATATTCCATCTGTTGGTGTCAGTACATCAGATCGTTCTTCCAACCGTACGTTGCTCAATTGTCTGGTCATCTTGCTAGCCTTCTTCTGGACATACTTCCCCATACCAGACAACGCAATGGAGTTTTTACTCTTGTCGTTAAAGCGGTTCTTTCAAGCGGCATCATTTTCCAACAATTGGCTCGCCACATTCGCCTTAGCATTTCCTGGATCGCTATATCTATTCAGAAAAGAAATCGGACTGGTAGGGGACAAGTTTACTAAGTACGTTGTTTGCCCGAAATGTTGCGCTGTGTACGAATTTGAAAATAGCTTTCGAACAATTGGCACTCGCAAGGTTTCCAAAACGTGTTCCTTTGTTCGTTTCCCAAACCATAGGCAATGGCGCATGCGTAAACAATGTGGCACGACCCTTTTGAAAGAGATTACGGTTAAAGACGGTGGTAACCGACTGTATCCTCATAAGGTATATTGTTACCAGAGTATTGTTTCAACATTAGAACAGTTTGTTAAGCGATCAGGTTTTACAGAGCGTTGTGAATTGTGGAGAAATCGTGATTTACGAACACCGTATCAAGTAATGTGTGACGTGTTTGAAGGACGAGTGTGGAGGGATTTTCAGATGTTTGAGGGATCATCCTTCCTGGCGTCACCTCGCAATTACGGCTTTATGCTCAATGTTGATTGGATGCAACCATTTGATCACACGCCATATTCCGTGGGAGTGTTGTATCTCGTTTTGATGAATCTTCCGCGCAGTGAGCGCTTCAAGCGGCAAAACATTTTCCTCGTTGGAATCATTCCAGGTCCAAATGAGCCAAAAATTAATATCAATTCATTTCTAAAACCCCTTGTCGACGAGTTGTTTGTTCTTTGGGAAGAAGGCGTGAATCTAAGACATTCAGGTTCACCTATTTTGCCAGAACGTTTCCGGGCTGCTCTGTTGTGTGTAGCCTGTGATATGCCCGCAAGTAGGAAGGTTTGTGGGTTTACTGCTCACAACTCTAAACATGGTTGCAATAAATGCACTAAAGAATTTGCGACGGGCGGTATCGGTGAGGCAACAAATTATTCCGGATTCAATTCCTGTAGTGGGAGAAACATCGTTGATCATAGAAGACATGTCGAAGAGATTTTAGCGCAGTCAACGCAGGAATTACGTAACGTGAAAGAATCTTTATATGGCGTTAGATATTCTGAACTTCTTAGATTACCGTACTTTGACTGCATTAGGTTTACGATTGTTGATCCAATGCATAATTTGTTCCTGGGAACGGCTAAACACATGATGGAATTATGGCTTGAACTTTCTGTTTTGACTCGTGCAGATTTGGAACGTGTTCAAGAAAAAGTAGACGCAACTAATACACCTTCAAATATGGGTCGAATTCCTTTCAAAATAGCGAAATCTTTTTCTGGATTTACGGCAGAACAGTGGAAAACATGGGTTACTGTTTTTTCTCCTTTTGCATTGTTAGGTTTTATAACAAATAATCATTACAAGTGCTGGTTAAATTTCGTTAAAGCCTGTAAACTTTTGTCACAGCCAATGATTAAAATATCTGACGTGGGACTTGCACATTCTCTGCTAGTAACGTTTTGCCGTGATATCGAAAAAATGTATGGGACCCAACGCATTACACCGAACATGCACATGCACACTCATTTGGCAGACTGTATTCTTGACTATGGGCCTATTTATAGTTTTTGGTTGTTTAGTTTCGAACGTTATAATGGCATATTAGGGAACTACTCGACCAATAACAGATCGATTGAATTGCAAATAATGAGAAAGTTCTTGAGAGACCAAAACTTAAGGGAATTTGAATTCCCAGAAGAATGCGCGCAGCATTTTAGAGACTTAACGGATAAAATTCATCAGCGCGAAGGCCGTCGATCGATGAATGACGTAATTGATAGCAAACTGGCAATCAACATTCTTCGAATGTGTAACGATAGAATTCATGTTGGTAATGAATTGTGGTTTTCTCTGGACGGTTATTCTTTTGGTTCACCGCACGTTATTGAACATTTGGATACTGACGAGCATGAGTACTTGAGCAGGGTTTACACGATCTTCCTTCCTGGCTTAACAACCAACGATATACCTCTTCTTTGTGACAAGTACGCATCAATTGCGTTTGCAGGGGAACGATATGGGTCTACATTTTCCCGTCTCAATCGCTTTGCTTACATCCTAGCAAAGTGGGCAGGAAGATTCCATGGAGATGTTGATATTGAAAGTATGGACGAAAGGCCGGGTATCGTCGATTGCTTTATACGGCAGTCGATTTCGTATAATGATAAGGTGTATTCGTTTTGTTTTGCGTACGTTCGTTGGTTTCAGCATCATCCAGAGCGGTTCCATTATGGTAATGCTGGAAATATGGTAGCGCCAGAGATTTGGTGCGCAAACATGTTTGAGTGTTTTGGCCCCGCGTCGTTTATACCTGTTCAGCGTATAACACGAAACTTTATCGCCGGGTATGATAAAGTTAATGACGAAACTGTCTTATTTGTTATGCCATTGGCAAGGCAAATTCATCTGTGACTTGGTTATTTTTTAACCATGATTGACATGCTTTTCTGCTTTGGTTAGATTTGTGCACCAAGAGAGAGATACAGGCGGATATTGCGTTATATGGAAGAGATCCAGACGGATATTGCGTCTCTAGTAGAAAAACCGGTTAATTATTGACGCATTGACCGAAACGCAGTTTATTTTATCCATAAACATCGTTTTATCCAATTTCGCTTAAATTTACATGTATGTATATCATTGCAGCAGTTTATAATTGTCGGAAAGAGAACCAACAATCATTCCCTATTGTTGTCGAGCATGCAAATTGCCTGATTTTATGAAATAAAGCCAGGCACACATGTTGCGATTTCCATCTCTGTCTTCATCAAAATACTTATTTTTGCCCACTAATTTTTATCACTGAATATCAGATCGTTTTGTATTTTGTTTTTCGACAGACTAAAAAATTGCGTCGTGTGCCCCTGGCTTAATTTAAATGTTATAAAAATTAAAGTTTATTATGAAAAAATTTCTTAAGTAATTGACTGTGTCAAATTATAGACAGTTTACTGTTCGTATGATATAAAGTATTTTTTCTGAAATATATAGTATCATAAATCAATAGATTAAAACCTGCTTTTACGTCTAAGTTGATTTTTAGTTTGCAACAGCTATAGCCTCTACTAATGTACCCACCGCATTACGACGCGAGGTCAAGCGCTAGTTAAGTTAGGAGAGATCATTAGTTATTCTGGAGCTATTCTAGTGGTGAGTGCAAGATTATACTCGTTTCGCTGACATTAATCCCGCAAATGAATATGCTACTGCAGTTAAACTTTGACTTACCGTACATTTTAGGGACGGACCATTAGAAAAGTGATTGGGGGGGG